TCCGAGGGAAGACAAGTGTAATGGTGACAATACACAGATAATTAGCTGCAAAGTAACACTCCTCCCACAGGTCCGGTCACTGAACCGTTCTGCGATCCCCACCGGCGCTGAGGAGATACTGACACCGGCGCTACTGACAACAGGAAGACGGCAGAGCGCGGCATAGTGACCGGAAGAGTTCTTCTTTAACAAAAAGACATAAAATCACCATAAAAACATTTGCATCGTGCATAGCGACAACTGGGCAGCCTTGGCCACCACAACCCGTCACGTCTTCTGCTTACCTCGCGTAGACGGCAACATGTCGGACAATCCCTGCCACGCCGTCACCATCTCCGGATTCTTCTCCAGATCGGCAAAGTTCTTCCACACCCTTATAGCGCCGTCATCTGCAGTGACACAGTACACATCCTGAGTGCCATTCCTTCTACATATATGCTAAGGTAACTATGAATAGGGGGATTGTCTTTCTCCTCAGTGTGTGCAACACCAAAAGCATTACACTAAATAGCTTCCGGATGGGACAGCTGAGAGCTATTGCACTAAACGTCACATGACTCCACATGGCTGCAGCAGGTGGCTGATCGGTGTCAGACAATTTGTGAACGCAGCCAAGAAGCTGCGCAGGCATCATGGTATACATGATCGTGCCACATTTGATCAGAGATTGGGGCAGCTCCATGCGGAGAGAGCAATATAAAAAGGAATTTTATGACAATAAAGCACAGCAGGTGTGATGGTGTTCTATGTATATCATGTTTATACGGTTTTGTGATGTCGGCAGGTTCTCCATGCTGTGCTGTGGCCCCCCGTGTTCCTGCAGTCACCCGCAGTGCCCGGTAAAAGCATGAACACCAACCTGTGGCGGTGAGCAGCAGCGAGCAGTCCTGACCGTTCAGGTATTCCATGGCGGTGATGCGGGTGTAGCGCGGGTTCCCGTTGTGGAAGTAGTCCAGCTTCTCTCCTCTCTCCCAGTCCCAGAAACTGCACCACACAAAAAAAAGAGAGAACTCCACATGAGCGCTCAGCGTCATTAAACAGGAAGTCATCGTTTCTAAACATCCAGGTTACACTTTGACCTCTGTGTGGCTTCAGCTACAAACAGGAAACGGGCAACTTGTACGGCCCGGATGTAACATTCACATTTAGTGATGTCTCAATTAATACAGAGTGACATTAGCTGGTGTCTTTTATATCTGCCCGGAGTCCAGCTTCAGGGGTATGAGAGAGCGCATAAGAGTCGGAGATTCTGGGAGGCGGAAAGAGGGAGGAGGGAAGGGAAAATGGGAGGAGGAAAGGGAAAAGTGGGAGGCGGAAAGAGAAAGGGAGGAGGAAAGAGAAAAGTAGGAGAAAAGAGGGAGGAGGGAAGAGAAAAAAGAGGGAGGATCAGGTGTATGCTATAGGTTGTTACCAGTCATGACATCTGGGAGTGTGGAATGCTGTGTGCAGAGACAACGTGCACATCAGAAATGTGGGCGGAGCTTGCAGCTGATGGACATGTTACCATCTCATCCATTTTGTGCTGTAGTCCTCGCACACAGCGCTGATGTAAAACTGACAGCGCTGCCATTTCTCAGGTTTTTGGTATAATTTTGCCCTCTGGCCTTTATACGTTCATCGCCATCTTACCAGATACTGTCCTTGTCAGCGACCGCGATGCAGGAGGTGAAGGGGTGAAACTTCACGACGGAGGGAACGCCAGGATTTCGGTTAATGAAGATCTGGTCGTCTAATTTGGTCACACCTAGAGAGAAAGAAAAAAAAAAAAAGGATGGAAAAGTTTTGTTTTACTCTAAAGCCAACATTTTATTTTTGCCAGGTTCCCCTCGTTGGGGAGATTCACCCTCTATGTGTCCTGGTGACCACCCTCATCGGGACCGAATGTGATGGGAAGTCCACAATTTTAGGTCGTCACCAGAACAAGGACAGAGAGGACATCTTCCAATGGAGACACCTGTTCCAGTGACAACAGGGGTTTCCTTCACTTTGGAGTCATTTCTATTAATTTCCGGGTTGTCACTTACCCCCCGAATGGTGTGTTAACCCTTCCCTGTGTCCAAAGTGAATAAAGGTTCAAATAAAGTCCATCTCCCAATTGTTTTCTTGCGTTGTCACCCTCTCTCCCCATCGAGACTACAAGTGGCCATTTCAACACACATTACACAAACATGGTCCAATGTTGTCACCATCAGGAAACCCGCCCTGAGAAATGTCATGCAGCCATCGCTGGAGTACATGTAGACAGAGAGCAAGTGCATGTAGACAGAGAGCAAGTGCATGTAGACAGAGAGAAAGTGCATGTAGACAGAGAGCAGGTGCATGTAGACAGAGAGCAGGTGCATGTAGACAGAGAGCAGGTGCATGTAGACAGGGAGCAAGTGCATGTAGACAGGGAGCAAGTGCATGTAGACAGAGAGCAGGTGCATGTAGACAGAGAGCAGGTGCATGTAGACAGAGAGCAAGTGCATGTAGACAGCAAGTGCATGTAGACAGCAGGTGCATGTAGACAGAGAGCAGGTGCATGTAGACAGAGAGCAGGTGCATGTAGATAGAGAGCAGGTGCATGTAGATAGAGAGCAGGTGCATGTAGACAGCAAGTGGCTGCAGTATTTTAGCAAACCAAAGGTCAGCTACTTGGGGTGTACATCTCCTTTAATTGGCACAGATAAGCAACCGACAACAACGGTACCCAGAGGCATCACATGAATGGACTCTGACCACAAACACTGCCGATACATTCACTGAACCCTGCTGCAGATATTCAGCCAAGTTCTTCAGGTAGCGGGCCCGGCTCCTCGGGTTTCCTCCTGGGATCTTTCTGGCTCCTGACAGATCAGATCCCGGACAAACATATTCAACAGAGGAGCTGCTGCCGGCTGGATATTGATCCCTGACTGGACACTTGTCAGCTCGCATTCATTCTGCTCGACAGGACAGGCGCCGCGCTAATACACTTAGAACCTCACACAGGAAGGAGAAGCGATCCGCGGGGAATCCGGGAAAAGGGTGAGACGGGGGAGGGAGATCGCAACAAGGGCAGCTCATGAATCACAGCCCAGAGGAACGGATATCACAGAAGATGTAAACACCAACTCAATGACGTGCAGTTCTGTGAATCGGAAACAATTGGCTTTAAAGGAGAACTATGAGGGGGGTGCTTTTCACTCACCTCATAGTTCCAGCCGACCTGTGACAATGAGACTGTCACAGGTCGGCTCAATAGATCAGGAAGTGAGCGAACACATACGGGCGTTCGCTCACCTCTCACGGCTCTCTGCAGTGACAGTGAAAGGGCTGGATTCCTCTCTCCCCGCTCCGATCCGCCAACGCTGACTGGCGGAACGGACGGGGGAGGGGGCGGGTACAGCTGGCTCTGCCTCTAGATAGGCAGAGCCAGCTGTCAGTCACGCAGCTGGACGGATCCTGGCACAATTGTCGGGATCCGCTTCAGCTGCGGCGTCTCAGTATATAGGGAGCTACAGCTCGCGGTATACTGAGCTTAGGGTGACGGGAGGACGCTAGTTTGTGTCCTCCCGTTACCCTAAGGAGAACTATGGGGAAAAGCCCTGACCCCATAGTTCTCCTTTAAATATTGCTTTCACCTTTTTTAAATTGTTTTTGTTGCTGCCGATCTCCTGCAGCCACTTTCTGTCTACATGCACTCCAGTGATGGCTGTATGGTATTTCTCAGTGACGGTTCCTGATGGTGACAACAGTGGACCATGCCTGTGTAATGCGTGATGAAACTGCCACTTGTAGTCTCCATCAGAAGCCCATGTGACAATACAGGAGCACAATCGTAGACCGGGACAGAGTGTTGTCACAGGACTGTTGAGGATCCCACTATGCAGTGGCGTAACAATCGCCATAGCGACCCAGGGGCCTGGCCAGGACATCCCCCCTGATGCCGTGCGGGCCGCCTGGGTTGTTATGGCATCTCAGGATGCTGGCTGTCACTGGTGTGAGGAGGAACGTGTCGCCGTTAGATGACCGACAATCTGTCAGTGATCTGTGCAGCGGCGCGTTCCTCCTCACAGCCGCTGCAGAGTCCGTGACAGACAGCAGCTGTGGAGGAGGAAAGCTGGGCCCGGCGTCAGAAACGGAGGAGAAGGCGGGCCCTACGATGGAAGAGGAGGTGAGGCCTGGTGACGGAGGAGGCGGGGCCTGCCAGGGACCATGAAGGTGGGTCGGGGCTGACAGGTAAGAGGTGTGCAGCCCACCTGAGGCTCTGCAGAGCCCACTATAGAGAGTCTATGGTGGGCTCTGCAGGGTCACTCTCAGGTGGGCCGTTTGGGACATCAAGTGGGCTCTGCAAGGGCATAACTAGCAATCACGGGGCCCCATACAAAATTCTGCTATGGGGCCCTGTGATTTCTAGTTACGCCCCTGCCACTATGGTTCTCAAAGGACAGCAGGGAAAAGAAGAAAGGTCACATTTGCATACTAGCGGGACACAGAAATCTACCGACAAGAGAAATCTCCACAACACAGGAGATCTGATCATTCAGCTGTCACCCGGGGAGGATGTTTGTGTAGTTCTCACCTTTCTGTATGAGGTTATAGGCTTGTTTCCGGACCCTGGCGTTGCGGAGGAACCTCCACTCGCGCTCTTTGCGGACTTGGCTCTCCGCATCGTGCTCTTCAGGCATCTGGGAAGACACAGGAAAGGCCTATTAATGGACCCGACTGGGGAACAAGCTGCAGAATGAACTTATGGCCTTCTATTATTATTACATAGTATTTATATGGCGCCAACAGTTTGCGCAGCGCTTTGCGATATAAGGAAGATATTACAGTTACAATACAATTCAAGACAAGATGGTAAGGAGGGCCCTGCCCCTGAGGGCTTACAATCTAAAAGAGGAGGGGCCAGTGATACATGAGGTAGCTGTGGGAATGAATTATGTGAGAATGTGAAGGTTCAGTGGTTAGGTTGAGGTGGGATAGGCTTCCCTGAAGAGATGAGTCTTTAGGGAACGCCTAAAAGCAGTCAAGGTGGGAGATAGACGGACAGGTTGGGGTAAGGAGTTCCAGAGGATGGGAGAGACTCTAGAGAAGTCCTGGAGGCGATAATGGGAGGAGTGGACAAGGGAGCTGGAAAGCAGGAGGTCAATGGATGAGCAGAGGGGACGTTTAGGGTGATACTTTGAGACAAGGTCTGAGATATATCCGGGGGCAGAGTTGTGGATGGCTTCTATCAACATGAAATGCGTGCTGCAATATCATTATCAGTACAGAGACAAACTTACTGGTTCCCTTCCATGGAAGAGATCTCTGGAGCTCTCACATGGACTTCTGTAGCTGCCGACAGGAACTTTGGCCGACTTCCTGAGCAAAGTGCCCCAGCTGTCTCACATTGAAGGGTTCCTCCTCCAGACTTCATGTTTCTGCTCGATGTTCCATGGGATTCCGATCAGGACTCATAGAGACCACTACAGAATCATCCATGTTTTGTTATTGGCCATTCTTGGGTGCTTTTATCTGAGTGTTTTGGGTCATTCTCCTGTTGGGAGGACCCGTGACCTGCGACTGAGGCAATGCTTTCTAACACTGGGCAGGACATTTTGCTCCAGGAATTCCTTGAGTCTTGAGATTTCATTGCCCTCTGCAAGGATTGAAGACACAGCAAAGGAGTACGAAAGCATAACCAAGCCTCCTCCATGTGTCACAGTAGTTACGGCGACATAAGTGAGCCTCCTCCATGTCTCACCGTAAGTACAGAGACAGAACCGAGCCTTCTCCATGTTTCACAGTAGGTATGGTGACATAACCGAGCCTCCTACATGCTTCACAGTAGGTACGGTGACATAACTGAGACTCCTCCATGTTTCACAGTAGGAATTGTGACATAAGTGAGCCTCCTCCATGCTTCACAGTAGGTACGGTGACATAACTGAGACTCCTCCATGTTTCACAGTAGGAATTGTGACATAAGTGAGCCTCCTCCATGATTCACAGTAGGTATGGGGACATAACCGAGCCTCCTCCATGCTTCACAGTAGGTATGGTGACATAACCGAGCCTCCTCCATGCTTCACAGTAGGTACGGTGACATAACTGAGACTCCTCCATGTTTCACAGTAGGTATGGTGACATAACCGAGCCTCCTCCATGCTTCACAGTAGGTACGGTGACATAACTGAGACTCCTCCATGTTTCACAGTAGGAATTGTGACATAAGTGAGCCTCCTCCATGATTCACAGTAGGTATGGTGCCCTAACCGAGCCTCCTCCATGCTTCACAGTAGGTACGGTGACATAACTGAGACTCCTCCATGTTTCACAGTAGGAATTGTGACATAAGTGAGCCTCCTCCATGCTTCACAGTAGGTACGGTGACATAACTGAGACTCCTCCATGTTTCACAGTAGGTATTGTGACATAAGTGAGCCTCCTCCATGATTCACAGTAGGCATGGTGCCCTAACCGAGCCTCCTCCATGTTTCACAGTAGGTACAGAAACAGAACAGAGCCTCCTTCATGTTTCACAGTAGGTACAGAGACAGAACATGTTTCACTGTAGGTGCAGTATTCTTTTTGTAGCTTTCCAATCACCACCAGGCCTCACCAATCATTCCCACCCACTGCTTTCTGGATTGACAGCTCTGCCTCTGAAACCCTCCCACTGTGAGCTGCAGTGTCTGGGAGGGGTGAGACACAAAGGAAAGAGGATTTGGCTCAGTTAGGGAAGATAATGTAAGTCTTGGGAATGACACAGTAACTGGATTTGAGACTTCTTTAGACCATCATCCTTTAGGGCCGTGCTTCCCAACTGGTGGAAGGCATTTTAAATTGGAATAGCCAATAGCAGGCTGGCTATTGTACCCACCCATTGCCTGCTGTCAATCAGCAGGGAGGACCTGATAGAGAACTTTGTCTTCAGTTCCCTCCTTTGTTGATTGACAGCAGGCAGTGGGCGGGTACAATAGCCAGCCTGCTATTGGCTATTGCAATTTAAAATATCCAATAGCAGGCTGGCTATTGCTCCCAGCCACTGCCTGCTGTATTTACATTCAGTGAATCCAGTGAAGTGGAAAGGTGACCCTAGAGGTCTAAAAGACCCCTAATGTCACCTTAAAGAGAACCTGTCACCTCCAATGCACGTAGCCCTGGTGAGAAACTGCCCTAAAATCATTAGTCTGTATTGTTTTAGAAAAAAATGTCACATGTCCCGTTAAGAAAAAGTATAGGTAATTGGTATCGGCAAGTACATGAGGGACAGTACTTGTACTTGGTCTTGAAAAAGTGGTATCGGGACATCCCTAGTAGAAACTCTATTTTCTAGTTCTGGACGGGGTACACAAGGGTTCGAACCTCTTTGCTGAGAAGGAGGCTGCGGCATCAAAGCAAATAAATGCTGCAGAACGTTAAACTTTTAATTACATTTCTTCCTCCTTTTGTACCAATAAGAGAGTTCGGCGCTCACATAGTGAAGATGAAATATCAATTATTTCCAAGGGCGAAGCTAAAATAAAACGCGGCTGGCTATGAAAGAGTATAAAACGGTAACAAAAGGTTCTACATTCGTTTTGTGTCTCTCAAGGTGGATAAGAAGCTTTTCTAAAAAGAGAAGACAAGAGGCGAATAATGGGGGTTGGGGAGGGGTAGGAGAGCGAGGTCCTCAGAATAGCTCACGTATCTGCTGGCAACAGGACTGATGAGGAGAATCATAAGAGCAACTAGTGCGCAGCACACGTGGAAACACACACGTCATGGCAGAGGAGGCAAAATTCTACTGAGGATCACTCTCTGGAAATTCGGGTTTATTTCAGAAACAGTATGTTCCCTCCAATGACGTCATTGTCTTTGTGAAGGACTCTTCAAAGTCGGGTCATCGATCTGATAACGTCATTTACTGGGAAATCCACTGAATGCAGAGATATGGACGGTTAGGCCCCAGGTAGCAGTAAAAACCAGGCAATGGTTCTAACCCCTCACCAGTTCCGACTTGACACGGACTTTAGGTTTGGGCGCCGTATGACAACGAAGGGAAAGGGTTAAAAGGAAAACTATGGAGTTAGGGCTTTTCACCATAGTTCTCCTGAGGGTAACGGGAGGACACAAACTAGCGTCCTCCCGTCACCCTAAGCTCAGTATATAGGGAGCTGTAGCTCGCGGTATATTGAGACCCCGCAGCGGATCCCGACAATTATGTCTGGATCCGCCCAGCTGCGTGAGTGACAGCTGGCTCTGCCTATCTAGAGGCAGAGCCAGCTGTACCCGCCCCCTCCCGTTCCGCCAGTCAGCACTGGAGGATGGGAGCGGGGGAATCCAGTCCCTCCCGTCATGGCTCTCTGCAGTGACAGGATCGAGAAGTGAGCGATCGCCGGTATGTGTTCGCTCTACTGAGCCGACCTGTGACAGTCTCATTGTCACAGGTCGGCTACAACTATGAGGGGAGTGAAAAGCACCCGCCCTCATAGTTCTCCTTTAAGGCCTCATTCACACACAACAGCAAAATTGTATATTGTGTATATACGAGCGTATATGCGGGCACTATATGCATTTATTTGCATATGCTGCATATGGTACTGTACGCGTATATGCGCGGCAGTGTGAATAAGGCCTTAGAGTAAATTACTTCATATTAGGATTCTGGGGATTTTTTTTTTGCTTACTGTCCTAAAAGGACACCCGTCACCACCGTGGAAGGCGGTCATCCCTAATGCGCTAATAACCAGCTCAGTATCCCCGCCACGTACAGCCGTTCCACTGAACGCGGCTGGAGATCAATACAGACCGTCCAACAAATTTGTCCCAATACAAGAATTGATCCTCCGCATCCTCAGACACGTTCCTGGCATTTCTAGCGGAGATGAGCCTTGTTACAGCGGAATAGATTGCGACACCGAATGCTCCTCATCTCTGTGGCTGTCAGGCTGGGCCTTCAGAGTGTGGTGGGGAATCTGACACAGGGATCGGACCTCTACTGACCTGACATGTACTGGAGCCGTCCCGCAGATCCTGAAAAATGACGTCACGGATGCAGGACGCAGAGGAGAGGGTAAACTGTGCACAGCTCAGACTTCCTGCTGCACAGGCTTGGAGTTGCCTCTCTTATGATAATGTGATTCCAGTGAAGCATGGGCACAACCACCCTTATGGCTCATGCAGATGGACGTTGCCCACCAAGTCAGCAGACTCCAGTTTACATCAATGGTGGAATGCGAATGAGAGTTCGGAACCTGCATTCGGCCTGCTTTGGGTTTCTTTTGATGCGGCGGGTCCTACTGGGAAGAGTTTGCATTGCAAACAAAACCTTTTGCTGCATATTGCATTTAAAAACATGCGTCTGCACTCAAAAGCAAGGCTGACAACAACGCATAACTAACAGCCCATACGGTTTACAAGGGCCTCATGTCTCTAACAGACAGGCTCATGATGATTAAAAAGGACATGCAGCTGTATGTAGTCATAGCTGCTAAACAAAGAGGACCTGTCCCTCCTTATGCCATTCAAGATTAAGCAATGGGATGGCACAGCACACCTTCCAAGTGACTCCCATTCACCGCTCTCAGAAGCAGTCTATATCCAGTGGCCTGACACAACCAGGTGTACGAATCTGCTGGGGATAGACCGCTGGTCCCACACAGGGTACTCACCTCAAAAGACCCACATCACCTATTAACCCAATAAATACTGTGCCCCATTATACCTTCATAACTGGCTGAGCAAAGTACTTGGCACTCCAATCGCAGAAGCCGGTTTGCAGAGAGCCTGAAATGAAGCCTTTATGGACGATCGGGTCATCTCCATCTTCAGCAGCCTGGGGAAAAGAGAGACATCAGTCAGCCAATGAAATCCTAAAAACACAGAGCTCAGGATACAGGGTGACCACAATGTCCACAGCAACCAATCAGAATCCAGCTGACATTTAACACAGGACATCCGACAAAGATTATTCACTGCAATGGACAAATATACAATAAGATCCTTTGAAAAGTATTTCTGATAGTAGTGTGTCTTCATGACCACCTGAAAAACAGGACTAAGCTCTCTTAGTGCTAGGGGATGGCGTGAACTGTTCAGCATTTTATGAACGATCTGTAACAAGGACTGTTATCAGGAGCTTTTTAAGCATTTATACTGCACTCGGCACCAATGAATAATGTTTTACTTCTTTGTGCTCCACCCCTTTTCCAGTAGAATATTTCCAAAGCTCTAACCCTCACCTATCAGCAGGAGGACCTTGCTTTTTTTTGGAACAGTGGGACAGCATTGTATACCTGGAGGCTAGCCCATCCTTCCCTGTAGTACCTACTCCTAAAAATCCTCATCTTAGGCACATGCTGTATTTTACATCCTCTGCTGCGTTTCGCGGAATCAGGGCGTTTTTGAGGAATATGTGCCAGGGAGGGGGGCTGTTCCTGCTCCCTATTTGACTCCATTTGGGGTGTTCCTGCTCCCCATTAAATACCATTTGTCTTAAAGTGACATTAAACCCTCAGATTTTTTAACATAAAACAATAGTGTAACGTGTGCCTTACTGTAATCCATGGTAGTTTCCCTTCTTTGCTGCTCTTCCTTTTAAATCCTCATGTCTTCTCATGCTTGGGGAGAACTTCTGTTTTGCAGCAGACTGCCTTGTCTCTGGAATGGATACATGGTGTCTGTGTGCAGGTTCACAACCTGAGCCAGCACTACAGGAAGAGGCAGTCAGCTGCAAAGGGAAGTTCTCCCCCAGCATGAGAAGACATGAGGATTTAAAAGGAAGAGCAGCAAAGAGAAGGGAAACTACCATGGATTACAGTAAGGCGCACATTACAGTATTGTTTTATGTTAAAAAATCTGAGGGTTTAATGTCACTTTCAGTCATTGAGTAGAGTTTCTCCACATAATACAGAGGCTCCCTCATGGAAATGTGAGCCTTCCACAAATGTGATCCACCGGGACCTCAGAAACAGATCAGACAGGTCCTCTTGCTAATTGCTACGGAGGAGGAATATCAAACTGTGTTGTGCACTTAGTGGCACCCTCCTGGTATTGGCCCCTTTTAATGCGCACATGTTGTTCCCATGTAAACTGGGCCAGGAGCAGCAGTGTGAGAACTCGGAGTGGCTGTTCACCGAGCCAGCAGCTGAAACCAGATGAAATATTTATGAGCGGCAGACGGCTTTTAGGCAGCTCAGTGTGCAGAGGAAGGAGGAGGAACAGAAGACGGAGCTTTCCACAGAGTATGCGACATGTTCCGATGACATGGAAGTGCCGCTGTCATGCTTGTGTGATGCATGCAGCTATGTACCCATTACTGTAAAACATACGTGCTCAATTACATCGTATTGTGATGAGAAAAGCTGTGCACAAAGCCACGGCAAGCAGAGCGCGAGCACGCTACACACAGCTCAACGCCAGGTAAAGGGGAGCTGCAGGATTTGTATTTCTGTCCATCCACTGCTGAGATTTACATAGCTCTGCCACCCAGCTCAGTTGACTTTGAGGCTAGTAACAAGTTGAACATCTCTCTGGGGCCCCGGTTCGGAGATCTCCTCATCTTGGTAGCCAGTTCTGTTGACCGGTCGCTGCCATTACAAAGCCAAGTAATGGCTTCTCCCTCCCTGAACGGATTCACCAAAATTTGGAAGAAACAAGCTAGGGGTTCAGCTAACACACAGGGAGACACACCTTGAGGTAGGGAATGGAGACGCACCTTGAGGTAGGGGACTGGAGACACACCTTGAGGTAGGGGACTGGAGACACACCTTGAGGTAGGGGACTGGAGACACACCTTGAGGTAGGGGACTGGAGACACACCTTGAGGTAGGGGACTGGAGACACACCTTGAGGTAGGGGATGGAGATGGCACACCTTGAGGTAGGGGATGGAGATGGCACACCTTGAGGTAGGGGATGGAGATGGCACACCTTGAGGTAGGGGATGGAGATGGCACACCTTGAGGTAGGGGATGGAGATGGCACACCTTGAGGTAGGGGACTGGAGACACACCTTGAGGTAGGGGATGGAGACACACCTTGAAGTAGGGGATGGAGACACACCTTGAAGTAGGGGATGGAGACACACCTTGAAGTAGGGGATGGAGACACACCTTGAGGTAGGGAATGGAGACACACCTTGAGGTAGGGAATGGAGACACACCTTGAGGTAGGGAATGGAGACACACCTTGAGGTAGGGAATGGAGAAACACCTTGAGGTAGGGAATGGAGACACACCTTGAGGTAGGGAATGGAGACACACCTTGAGGTAGGGAATGGAGACACACCTTGAGGTAGGGAATGGAGACACAAACAACTGGAGGGAAAGGAGGCCAGTGGAGGTTCTGAGATGCATGAGAATCCGTGCCCACCTAAAAGCAAAGCCAACCATAACCAGCCCCCTTCATGACCAGAGGTCACCGAAGCCCAATAACCAGATCAAATTAAGCAAGCAAGGTAGGAGCGGGTTAACAATACCCCGCTGTGGACAAGAAGAGAGAGAGAGATGCCTCTAAAGGTAGTTTCTGAAGCACAGAGAGAACCAGACTTAGATCCTGCAGAGTCACCGGGGAATGTATGAGGCGAGTCACATGAGAGAGTGAGGCCAATGGGCTTTGAAACAGAATGGAAAGGGTAGAAAGCTAACCCTTGAGAGTGCCGAGAGCCAAACAATGGTTCAAACCCATCTACAGCCTTGGATCTCAACTGGTGGGTCATGACTGCGTGTTCTCTACAGGGCGACGCAAGGGAGTTGTGCAAGCGATGCATATATGGATGGAGCTCTATCACAGCACCGCAGCCCACACCGGACCTCAGGCTGAGGATCCACTCCAGTTCTCACAAGGTACAGTGTGTTAATTGAACAGTCCTGTACCCGGCAATCACACCTACTACGCGTTCTGGTGCGTTGCGATTCATTTGAATGGCACCCTAAAACACACCTCCCACCCGCAGCTCAATCGCCCGCACTGGAACGTGCGGTGCCGCAATGCTGTGCGTTCCATTGCAGTGCGACTTGGGTCACAACTTAATGACCAAGGACAGATGTGGGTCCCGAGGTTACACAGGTTGAGAACCACCGAGGACTTGTCCCTCAGAGAAGCCTCTATAACAGGGGTGGGCAAACTCCGGCCTTCCAGCTGCGGTGAAGCTACAAATCCCATGATGGCTGTGAGAATCTTGCAATGCCTCATGGGATTTGAAGTTCCACAACAGCTGGTGGGTCGGAGTTTGTCCCCCCCAGGTCTAGACTCTAGTAACGTATGCCTTCCACGTCCAATGATGGACCTCTCCGTCTGATTGCGACCTTAGAAGACACACTATTGGCTGTCAAGCTTCTTACATTGGTTGGAACCACTTAACATGCAGAGCTAAGATGCGCCAATCCTGCTGCGTGAAATCGGCGTTTCCTCTTATTTGCGAATCGATTTGATCATCACGAGTGAAAATATTATTTACGTGAAAAATCTCTTCAGTCCCTCTACAGAGGCGGGGTTACCTGGTCGGGGCCTTTGTCGAACATCTTGCGGGTGCGGGGGAACTGGTGGGAATGGGGAGTGTACTGGACCCCCATAGCTGACCCCGCATTGGCCGGCCGGTTGGAAGGAAGCTCCCTGTTGCTAGGAGATTTCGTCATGTCGTTGGTAAGGCTGGAGCTGCTGGCACTCGGAGTTGGAGGAGACCCCCTGAAGGGAAACATCAAATGTCACATGTCCCGGCACTTTTCAGCAAATGCATCACAGACAGAAAATAACAAAGTGTATATGTTCTGCACTGATCTCCGAACACCTAACTGGCAGGAAGGGGGTCACCTATGCTCGGGTTCTTAAAGGAGAACTATGGGGTCGGGGCTCTTCCCGATAGTTCTCCTTAGGGTAACGGGAGGACACAAACTAGCGTCCTCCCGTTACCCTAAGCTCAGTATATTGGGAGCTACAGCTCGCGGTATGCTGAGACGCCGCAGCTGGGACGGATCCCGACATTACTGTCTGGCTCTACCCAGTTGCGTGAGTGACAGCTGGCTCTGCCTATCCAGAGGCAGAGTCAGCTGTGCCCGCCCCCTCCCCGTCCGTTCCGCCAGTCAGCGCTGGAGGATCGCACAGGGGAATCTCTGCATGGAGCCGTGAGTCACGGCTCTCTGCAGGGACAGGATCAAGAAGTGAGCGAGCGACGGTATGCGTTCGCTCACTTCCCGATCTATTGAGCCGACCTGCGACAGTTTCATTGTCACAGGTCGGCTCGAACTATGAGGCTGCATGATTTTCACTCGCCGCATAGTTCCCCTTCAAAATGCTAGTTTCCTGGCTGTCTCTGGTCTCAGTACCTTCTATGTCACTCGCTCACGCTTGAAGAAGCTAAAGTCAGAGATCAGGATCTGCATACTAACCGGGTCAATGGTACCTGCAAAGTACTGAACTCATTGGAAATGAAAAAATCACTATAGTGAGCGCTCAGCTGGGGAGTTGTCAACGACAAAAGGCAAGTAGATCGGTCTTGAACAAATGCGTTTACTGTTTGTAGAAGTGAAACGCCAACACGTTTCAGATCAACTATATAGGGCCTCCTCCATCAGGGCTGCTTGTATAGAAAGCAAAATGATTTTAAAAAAAACCCATCACATACAGAAATATAAAGATTTACAAAGAATTTGGACCACAGACAACATCAGTCTGTTAGAAGCAACAATTGGTCACACGGCTACCATTGAGGTTCGCCCCCTCCTGGGTGGAGCTGAGCGCTCACTATACTGACTTGCCATTCACTTTCTCCTCACTCACTATAAGACAGAAGTCATCAACTTGCGCAACTAGATCGATTGTTTATGGACTATAGACTGATAGTATCAAAAGGAACTCCAGTACACTGGTAATGACTCCAGAGAAGACGTGTGCACTGATCCTGCAGCCTGGTTGGCTGGATAGGAAAACATCCATGTCACGGCGCTGTGAAGAAAACCGGCGCACAGATCTAAGTGCAATGCAAAGCGACTTATACTGAGCCTAGGGTGACGGGAGGACGCTAGTTTGTGTCCTCCCCTTAAATATTTATTTAAAAAAAACATCTCGCCTGTCACGCATCAGATGAAAGTCGGATCTCGGCTGCTGGCCCGAGATTGCTATCAGGATGTGGGGAGAGCAGAGTCCAGTTCAGTCCGGAAAGGTCCCAGGACGCCCGTGCTGGAAGACACAGGTCTGATCCAGTGGCTGAGCACTGCTGTGGCTGGTTCTCCTCAAAGCAGGGTCACGGCTGCCGAGTACTTCCGGGTCGTCGGATGTTGCTAGGCAACGCGTTTCAGAGGTTCACCTCCTTTGTCAAGCCTCCAGGCGAGATGTTTTTTTTTTAATATCCTGTAAGTGCATTACTTTTATCCTTATTAAATAGTCACTTTACATTGCACATTGAGATCTGTGCGCCGGTTTCCTCACTCACTATAGGCTGGCACATTCTCTATACTGGTGTCCCCATGTGTACAAGCGAGCTGCTCGGCTTCTTCCTACTGCTCGGTGGACTTCTGTGGCGCCCTCAACATGGCAGCCTAGGTTCTCTCTTACTTTAGAATAATTTGTACCCGAAGTCCTGCCAGAAAATGATCTGCAAGTGTTCAAAACACATCAGTAACATATTTCAGGACCTTCCTCACCCGACTTGATGGATAAGCATGCCCTTGTTGGTAGGACTCGCTGGGGCAGACTGCGTCAGGGCTGCGGCGTCCAGAATGCGCTGTGGCCGAGTGCTCATGGTGGCCTGCCGGGAGACATGGATAAAAGACCGAGTCGCTGAGATAAAAAAAAAAGCTGCAGAGGGCCAACGCTTGTTGTTACAGCAGTGCAACAGAGTTAGATGACTTTTGGATAACAGTGGCGTCCCCCCGCGAGGGCCATCAAACGCCGACCCCTCTCCAAGGATGACGCTGCCATATAAATCATGAAGAACAACAACAAAAGCCGAGTGCCAGCTTCTAGCGGCATACTCAGAGCGCGGCTTTTCTCCACAGGGTGCTTTATATGCTAAATAGCCATTTTATTATTACTATTCCCTTATTTCATAGTTTTTTTAAATTTTTTATTATTCCTCGTCCATAAAACTAGATAGCGTGCGGGTCCTTAAAGCGCGTCTAAACCCAATAACGAAAAAAAAATGTAATACATTGAAGCTTACTAATTCTCAAATGTGAAAGGCTGCATTACTTTTCTTTTTTTTATCCTTTATTTTCACCTGCTGATCCTGCCAGTAACACACTTCCTGTCCTCGGGTGACAACGCTCACTCACTTTTTATGTATATATGGAGCAGAGTTGTCATCCAAGGACAGGACTAGAGAACACTTGCTCTTCATAACAGAGGGGAGGGGTTCTATAGTCCACAGAACTGGGAAGACACAGGAAGTCTTTGAATTTTTTGCACTTATTGAACAGATATAACAAAATACTTTCGATGGAATATTATTTAATAAACCAAAAGGAAGCAAATAATAGGAATGTTGTACTCAGTGTAAAATCCTTTACGTGGAGTCAATTGAGGAACACAGGAAGTCTTTAACCTTCGGGTTATACTGCTGCCTACAGGAGGACTTGACAATGGCAAACAAAACTGTAGGTCAGCCCAGGATAAGCCCTCCTTCTACCAGCATGCCTCAGTTTTGCAGCCATGCAGTCCAGAGTGCATGATAATCACAGGGCTGGGGGGGGACTGTTTCCCTCAATAGATTCCAACAACAGTATTTTATGGCGAACACAAAAATCCTTTTTTCTTTTTCATCCACGGAGGGACACAGGACGTCTTAAACCCGGGGTAGCCAAACTCCGTCCCTCCAGCTGCGTTGAAACTACAAATCCCATGAAGCATCTCTCTCCGGGAGTCATGTGTGGCTGTGAGAATCTTGCAATGCCTCATGGGATTTGTAGTTCCACCACAGCTGGAGGGCCGGAGTTTGGCTAGCCCTGTCTTAAACCTTCAGAACACCTAAACGCAGTCTAACCGAGGGGTGTGGGGGCGACACAGCAAAGAATCGCCAAGAGCTGGGGACTGCCTGCAGCTCAGAGGGCCCCTGTAAGATCTAATGCCGGACGTTGGCATCAAATGAGGCAAAAATGTCCAGCTTGTAGAACGTCTACAGGTTCTATGTCTGCACAGAAGACCAGACAGCAGCCTTGCAAACAGTTGCTTCATCCTGAAAAGCCCAAGAGATGCTGCCAGCCCTAGTGGAGTGCGCCTGAGCAAGGGGGCAACCTGATCCTTGAGACCATGAGCCTGGACAATGGTGTATCTGAGCCACCTAGAGATTGTGGATCGAGAAGCCGGGTACTTCTGACCTTATGATAGGTGTGATGGTCAGGTCATCACATACTTTTGGCCGTACGTTAGGCGTGGTCAGGTGTTCACATACTTTTGACCGTACGGAAGGTGTGACGGTCAGGTCTTCACATACTTTTGGCCGTACGGTCAGGTGTGACGGTCAGGTCTTCACATACTTTTGGCCGTACGGTCAGGTGTGACGGTCAGGTCTTCACATACTTTTGGCCGTACGGTCAGGTGTGACGGTCAGGTCTTCACATACTTTTGGCCGTACGGTCAGGTGTGACGGTCAGGTCTTCACATACTTTTGGCCGTACGGTCAGGTGTGACGGTCAGGTCTTCACATACTTTTGGCCGTACGGTCAGGTGTGACGGTCAGGTCTTCACATACTTTTGGCCGTACGGTCAGGTGTGACGGTCAGGTCTTCACATACTTTTGGCCGTACGGTCAGGTGTGACGGTCAGGTCTTCACATACTTTTGGCCGTACGGTCAGGTGTGACGGTCAGGTCTTCACATACTTTTGGCCGTACGTGGAAGGTGTGACGGTCAGGTGTTCACATACTTTTGGCCGTACGGTAGGCGTGGTCAGGTGTTCACATACTTTTGGCCGTACGGTAGGCGTGGTCAGGTGTTCACATACTTTTGGCCGTACGGTCAGGTGTTCACAAACTTTTGGCCGTACGGTAGGCGTGGTCAGCTGTTCACATACTTTTGGCCGTACGGTCAGGTGTGACGGTCAGGTCTTCACATACTTTTGGCCGTACGGTAGGCGTGGTCAGGTGTTCACATACTTTTGGCCGTACGGTCAGGTGTGACAGTGACAGTCAGGTGTGACAGTCAGGTGTGACAGTCAGGTGTGACAGTCAGGTGTGACAGTCAGGTGTGACAGTCAGGTGTGACAGTCAGGTGTGACAGTCAGGTGTTCACATACTTTTGGCCGTATGGAAGGTGTGGTCAGGTGTTCACATACTTTTGGCCGTATGGTAGGCGTGGTCAGGTGTTCACATATTTTAGGGTTCATGATGTATATTATGTCCCCCCACAGAGGTTACACAACCCACCTTATAGGCAATGCTGTTGAGGACTTTCATGGCGAGGTCTGAGGCTTCTGGGTAAGGGTCTGTGGCAAGGTGAAGGAGCACCCTCCATATCTGGGTGTAGACGCTGTTGAAAGACACACCTACAAAAAAAACAAGGTTCATGGGTGAGTCGCTGGTAATGTAATAATTCCATCTCCGGCCAAACTACATAAAACATCTGCCAGGTTTATACTGTTTCCTGTTATCCCACAGGGTACATGTACCCTAACTTCCTTTCCGGTGACAACCATGCCCCATTTCTTGTCTGTGTGTCACAGGAAGACACAGAGTGCCGTTTGAATCTACACTAAAGAGATACCACATCACTTCCTGTCCCCGTGTTACAATCTTGATAAAACAGGAAGTGAGGGTAAATCTCCCCTGTGGGGGACACATGAAACCATTAAAACATGACAAACTCTTTAACCCATTGTGCTGTCTGGAGTTGATCTTTAATAAGGCAGAAAGCAGATATGTTTGATCCCACCATGCCATGCCTGCGGGAGCACTGTACTGCCTCCTCTAGCTCCAGCCCACTCCTGGTCCCAGCTTTGCCACCAGTGAGCAGGCCAGGCAATAGTCTTAGGCCCCATTCACACGTAGCGATTTCCGCCGCGATATTGCGCATTTTTGCCGCGCGATATCGTGAGAAGTCGCCGGCTTATGATATTCAATGGAGCTGTCTTAGCTCCATGTCGCGCGTCGCGGTCGCAAGTCGCTTCTACAGGACCCTTTTTTGCGCGGTTTTGCTTTTTTCTAATGGAGCCCGACGGAGAAGGTTGCGCTACCCTCGCTGGAACGCCGCCCCGAAAGTCGCGCTATCCCGGCCGCTGCAAAAGGTATGTCGCTACGTGTGAATGGGGCCTTATAATGCATCCAATGAAGAGAGTGTATGGAGCAAAGGTTTCATTCTTTAGCTCAAGAAGGAAGAGGAGAACCCCTCCCTCCTAGAGCAGGGGTGGGCAACGCCACTACTTACCTACAAATCCCAATGCCTCATGGGACTTGTAGTTCCAGGACAGCTGGAGGGCCGGAGTTGCCCACCTCTGATCTAGAGGGCGTCACGTGAGACAATATTCTCACCCTGCCTCATGGTGGTCATCCATCGATGACAGACCGCTTCATATGCCGCCACTGCCGGATAGATAGTTTATTTGGGATGAGATGTCAGTCAGTAGCAGCTCACCTCTGTTGCCTCCCATTGCTATGTAGAGATTGGCACTAGATATTTTTCTTCAATAGGGGGGAGGATGGTGAAGTTCAGAAGAATCGGAGTCCTACTTAAAGTGTATATAAAGTAGAGATTCACCGATATTTATATGGCGGTCCTGAAATATGTTACTTCAGCTAACATGGAGGTGGCCTCCCGGCCAATCGGCATGTAGCCAGCCGCACAGCATGGAGCCGGTTGGCTTCCTGACCAATCAGGAGGCTGGGGCAGCGGGTAAAGACCCGCTTCCTGTTTGGCCAGGAAGCCTGCTCCATGTTCCTTCGTGGCACTGCTGGTCAGAGGAAATCTCCCTCTGACCGGAAGTTCCGGTATCGTGGAAGGAATCGGGGCGAGTACTCGGTATTGCTGCATCACTAATTTAAAGTTTGAGTTAGAACCCCCCCCGACAGGTTTCTATTGCCGTCCCTCCCAGGTCAGGAAGGTTCTGCCGATCTGTCTCCGGAACTGGAAGTGATGGGAAATCCAACATACTGTACTGGTGGTGAGGGGAAATCTACCAAAGAGATCTCTCTGGGAGGGAATTTATTCTCACTTCCTGTTGAGTCTGTGGGAAATTATGGAAATTCTCCCCAATGGGACCCAGACATATGGGCTCGTTCACACTAGATGCAGTGCGTTCCGGCCCGATTTTGGCCGGAACGCACTGCCTCGCATTGCTGCCGGCTCACTTTTTAGTGGGGCAGGAGGGGGGGTGTGGCGGGCCATTCAAGTGACTGGCGCCGTAGCCGCGCCCTCCGGCTGCCATGCGATCCGGTGCGCTGGATCGCAAGGCACATTGTGCCTGCGGTCCGATCCTGTGCGGTGCGATCAAAATGCTACCAGCACTATTTTGATCAGCACCGGACCAGACTGCAGGCCCAATGTGCTTTGCGATTTCCGTGCGGCGCATCGCATTGCGGCCGGAGGGCGTGGCTACGGCGCCAGTCACTTGAATGGCCCACCACGCCCCACTGAAAAGTGAGCCGGCCTCAATGGGTGGCAGTGGGTTCCGGCCAAAATCGGGCCGGAACGCGCTGCATCTAGTGTGAATGAGCCCTTATGTCTGGGTCCCATTGGGGAGAATTTCCATCATGTCCTCTCCCACAGACTCAACAGGAAGTGAGAGGAAATTCCCTCCCAGAGAGATCTTTTTGGTAGATTTCCCCTCACCACTAGTACAGTATGTTGGATCTCCCATCGCTTCCTTTATAAGCGTCTCAATTTTACATTTGCTCTATTTGTGCAGAATTGACATAAAAGTGAAGCACTGGGTGGAATGTCCAGCAATATCAGCGACCGATGGGCTGGGATGTGCCAAAAATGAATGGAGTAACTTAATTCCAGCGGTGCTGTGCCACCCCGGGGCACCGGGGGGGACTGGTGGCGGCGTCGTCCGTCCTCGCACACTCTCTTTCCAGGTGGCTAATTTCTGGTTTCCTCCGCCGTTCCTTCAATGAAGCCGTTTCTCCCGGAATCTGTGCAATTTGTAAAAGGAGGCAGCTGCTAATGATCGCCAGGAGCCCCGGAGGACTCGGAGACTGATG